GGGTCAACGCTGCAGACTCGATCCGGCAGCCACTCGACCACCGAGCGGCCGTCGGCCGAAGTAAGCAGAGTAGATGATAGGGGACGCCGGCGGGCAACCTATATAGCATAAAAATAAAAAAATAAAATAAAAAAATACCGGGGAATTAGACACTATAGATACGCACACACCGACGCACGAAGTGCCAAGAAGGACGTCATTAGTACGAAACCTCAAAAAGGCCGTGGGCGTCGAGGGAACATTCCCCCGAGAGCACAGAGAAAGGCAAAACCGAACCTCCTTGCGCAGTGACCCTCGCTAAGTGTCGCCGTCATCGGGGCACGCTATCCTGTGCAGTCAGGGCAAGCGAGGGCGAGGCGCAGTCCCATCTCTCCTGTGTACGGGTGGGTTCTGTCCCTAGTCTCGGAGGCAAGGGCGAAGCTAAGAATATTTAATTTTTTTTCAGCGGGCGCTCGGAGCCTTCGGCAGTGGGAACCATTGCAGGTACCAGGTCCCTGGCACCGGGCGGGTCAGCCGTCGCAATCCGATAAGAATTCGTCGTGGAATCCGAGAGAACTCCTCGCAAATGGGATGGAAGAAGCAACAGGAGAGAGAACGACGAGAGTGGGACGACCGCGAGGTGGCATGAAGGTTGCAGCGAGAATCGGCGAGAGACTGCGAAGAGAGATAGGATAGGAAGAGGCGGACGCCCAAGGGTGGGCGACGGCTAGCACCACACTCCTCTCCGGAAAATCCCTGTGTGGTGGCGGCGTGCCGTCCTCCCATCCCTCCCTTGGGGTGTCTGTGTGCTTTCTTTCTTTCTTTTTCGCAAATGCAACTCGTCGGGGGGGGAGGGGGAGGGGGGGGGGGGTCCCATGCAACGGAAATGCTTACGAGGAGAGCGTGGCCGAGGGCTGCATAGACTCGCTCGATCATTGCCCGGCGCTGCTTGCAGCGCTCTGGGTGGTAGTGGCGGCGCTCCAAGAGTGCTCTTGGGAAGAGGTTCCTCCTTCCCGCTCCCCCCCCCGCAAGGCGCGAGACTCACGATTGCAAGATCTCAGAAAGCACCTACCTCCTACCTCTACCTACTACCTACCTCTGCCTCTGGACAGGGTGGCCCTAATCGACCCCTGTTAAGTTCGCTTTCCACCCACTGTGATTTTGTGTGAGCGCTGTGTCTTGCTTTGCCAACAAAAAACCTAACGGAAACAGGTTGAAGAAAAGAAGGCGGCGCGCTGTAGAAGAAAATAAAATCGCCGGATTCGGTTACTGGACGGCCAACCAACTTTGGGGACGACCGTACGACCGTGGTGCACAGAAACATTCATGCCAAAGCCGAGGCGACGCTCGGCCGGATCCGGCAGCAGCCCATCCTCTCCCTCCTCCTCCTCCGCCGAGCCGCAGGCATCCACGTCCCGCTCTTCCTCCTCCGGCCCTCTCGTTGCCATCGAAATCGGCGCGCTTGCGCTCACCTTTGCCGTGAGCAGATCGCTTATCACCGTCTGCTGCGTGCTCGGAGTTTTCCGCACCGCGGCACTTATCGTCACTTTACGCTGGGCGTCATTGCTCGCAGTCGCGGCGTTCGCAATCGCCTTCGCTGCCGCGCCAGGCGCTCCGGTCCCCAACTTTCGCGGCTGGCCCCGTGATCTGGCGGCTGGCAACGCAAGCACGGCGGAAAGTCTGTGTGATGAGTTGCAAGGCGTGCCTGACGTTGCCACTTTTCTCGCCGCCGCTGGACTGCGCGCAGAGTCGCCCTCGCCGCGACCACTCATCCTGCGCGGCGCCGCCTCAAGCTGGCAGGCGGCAGAGTGGGCACAGGGCTCGGTGGAGGAGCTCGTGGCGCGGCTCGGGCCGGAGGAGCATGTCAAGGTGGGCAGGAAGAGGTGCGAGGCTGGCCGGTGATGGGCACCCCACTCGTCAGATGGCAGAGTAGGTGGCGAGCATTCCTGCCGCGGTGAGCGGATTTGATGTCGTGACTCCGGACGACGACGCGGTCACTCACGTGGCCATAAGAGCACCCACCGCCGACGTGTCCTCACGTGGCCGCCCATGAACAGGTGGTGTTTCCAGCGAAGAGCTCACTGCCACTGCGCGATGCCATCCAGCTGCTGACGGACCAAGGTCGGCAAGGTGTCGGCAACATCTCGCGGCACTATGTCACAGACCTTGACGGCGACGACTACTGGCTGTACTGCCCCCCTTCCGTGAAGGTACTCCTGCACACTGCGCCGGCGGACGGCTGCCGCCAGCGGAGCGCGCCGCCCCGCCACCTGACCCGCTTGTTGGAGGGGGTGCCGGGCGGCGTTGCGGAGGCGGGCCCACTCAAGGTGATGCTGCAGCCACTCTATCAACAAGCATCCCTCCCGACCAAGTCGAAGGCGGCGCGCCTTTGCGCGGTGTGGCTTTGAAACGGCGCGGCGTGATCCACGATTGCGATTGTGAACAGGCCATGGTGTGGATGTCGGCGGGCGAGGTCCACGCAGGGGCGCACTGGGATGCTCACCACAACTTTTACGCGGCGCGCTAGGTAGACGTGGCCCTGCTCACCAATCTCGGCGATATCGCAGTATACACTGTTGCAGGTTCTCGCTGGCGAGAAGAACTTCTCGGTTGCTCCGCCCGCCGCTGGGGGTGCGTTGCGCTGGGGGCACCGCCCGACGCGACAGCTCGAGCGCGCAGAGGCTGTCGATCCCTCTTCCCAGATGGGCGGCTACCGCACACGCCGGTGCGGCTTCATTCTCCTTGCCTCTGCGCCTCCCATCCCCCTCCCCCTTGCCTCATCCACCCGCGAGCCTACCAATAATCGACACTTCCCCTTGTCCACGCAGTTTGCACGAGCTCAGCCCCTCCTTCTCGCCGGCCGACCTGGCGCACCCGGGCGCGGCCGGCCGGTCGCTTGGGGTACTGCAGTGCCGGCTGCATTCGGGGGACGTCCTCTACCTGCCACCGGAGTGGTGGCATCAGGTGGCGACGCGGAGCGGTCCTGGCGGGGGGCTGAGCGTCGCGCTCAACTGGTGGCAGGGGCCGGAGCTGCTCGGCGAGACGTACAACGCGTACTGGGCGCGGCCGTACCTGCAGGCGCTGCGCTCGCTGAGCGTCGCCGCGCCGCGCGAGAAGCTCTGCGCGGCGCTCGCCGACACAGGCAGCCCGCTCGGGCGTCGCGTTTGCCGCGGGCTGACGGCGCTCCACACGACGGTGCAGGGCAGGTGGAGCTGGGCCGCGTCGGTCCTCGGATCGAGGAGTGCATAACGCGCGAGAGGCGGAGCCCGGAACTCATCGAGAAGGCGGCTTGCGCGGGTGTCTCGAATGAGGCCGTGAACAGTAACAAAACCGTAACAGCTTGGGCTGGGGAGAACACTTGAACAACGTTGAGGAGTTCAGCCAACAATAGTGCAACTGTTAGGCCCAAAGTTAACGTTTGACAACCCCACGGTGGGGGGAGTGGTCGCCTTTTGTTTTTTGAGTGCTTTGTCGTTTGTGCGGGGTGGGGCTACGACGCGTCGCGCTCAACACCTCAACTGGTGGCAGGCAGAGCTGCTCCCGGCGAGACTGCCCCAGGCTCACAACGCGTACTGGGCGCGGCCGTATCTGCAGCGCTGCGCTCGCTGAGTGTTTTTGTAACGCGAGCGAGAGAGAGTGCGTGGATTTTCCCCGTTTTTCTTCTGTGTTAGTGCCAGTGCGCGCCAGTCCCGTGCGTGCCCAGTGTCGTGCGAGGGAGTTGTGTTGTAAAATTCTTTTGGTGGCGTGACTGCTCCTGGTGGGGGCGACGGCTTCTGAGAAAGCCGTCGCCCGCACCTTGCCGGTCGCGCGAATTAACATGGTCGACCTGGTAAAATTCTTTTCGACCTCGATCGACACGCCACGCTTCCTCCCCGTGGCGCTTCCTCCCAGTGCAGGCGACGCCACACCACGCGAGCGTGTCCTACGAACCTTAACGCCTTGGTGCCGTCGTTGCCTTGCGGCGTGCTCTGGTCTGCGTGTGTCTCTGCGTGAGAGCGCGGGTTGATGTGCATTAGTGGACAGTGCCCGCCGCCCGTGACTCTCGTGCATCGTCCACATCCGTGCGATTGCATGTAGTCTGCATTCATTTCAGCATTGCCCCGGCCGCCCCTCGCCTCCCAGTCACCCGCCCAGAGACGGTACTCAGTAGAGCCGTACCTGTTTCCAATTTAGAGCCGAATCGCATCTATACCCTCCTATGGTCCTACTGAAGTAAAAAAAGCTCCAGTGAAAATACAGAATCAGAAAAGACCTGCCGACGCGCAAGCGCAAGCCGCAACACTAGCGACGCCCTTTATTTCCGCGCGCAACACCAGCGAGCGCAAGTGAATTTTACAACGCTCCCTCTCACGATGCTGGGCACGTTTGCCTCGCAGCCGATCAGACCTGCCGCTGCACCGACGACGCCTCGCCTCCAGAGACGTCTCGCGCCTCCGCAGAGCTGCGGCTGCTCATCTTGGCGAACACCCGGCTGAGGCCGCCTAAGCTACGCCCCGCGAGGCTGCCGCGCTCGGCGATGCTGCCTGAAAGGAGTTCCGCCCGCGACCGAGCGGGGGTCGCGCCTAGGCTCTTTGCCAGAAGCACGAGCGACACCTGCGGACAGGGACGCCCCTCGTCACGAAAGCTCGATGCGCGCAAAGCGAGCTGGACAGGGCGCCTTCCGGTGGCGCCCCGGGAAGCACGACTTTGCCAGGTCCTTGTAGAGTCCGCCGGCGATGAGCTCCTGCGGCGTCGGAGGGTTGGGGGGCGGGGAGCTGAGATTGGGCGGTGGAGAGCATGCGCTCTCTACTCCGCGAGCCCGCTCCTGCGGCGTGACTTCAAACATTCTCGAGAACTGGCAGCCGCCGAGGCCCGGGTCGTTCTCGTGCGCCATGACGATCTTCAGCTTGTCTTCCCGCGCCTGCTTGACGTGCTCGGCCAGCCGCTCGCCGTCCTCCTCCAGCCAGGTATTCTGATTGAGGTACAACAGCATGTGGGTAGCCCTGTCGGCGCGGCGCGTTCGGCGTGCCAACCCGCGAAGTGCCATGGATGGGCGCGCTGATGCAGAAGAGCCAACGTCCACAACGGTAGAGACGGTGAGGCCGGGAAAGGCGCTGGCGAGCTCGCAGGCCAGCTCTGCGGCGCCTGGGTTGGCTGGCGAGGCCCAGAGAGTGCACGGTTTGGAAAAGACGAGCGACTCGCTCTCGAGCTCGCCCGACACGCAGAGCGGGAGGGAGGTCTGGTTCTGATAGGCGGGCGAGCAGAGGAGCACCGCCTGTGGTACAAGTGGGGGCGGTCGGGAGACAGAGAGGATTGCGGAGTGGCTGACCGTGGCCCGCGCGGAGCCTCGGCGATGATCTTGAGCGAGATGAGCCGGAACTCATCGATGCGGTACCAGATCGTGAGCGGCCAGTCCTTGTCAAAGATGTCGGGCTGCAGGTCCTCGGGGCACTCGTCGCGCAGCGCCTGCAGCGTCCCGCCTCCCTTTTCAGGGTCCGCTTCTTGGACGAGGACGAGCGGCTTGTCCTTCTCGAGCGACGAGCGGACCTCTCGGAGGCAGTTCTGTGGCGCGGGACAGGAGGAAGTCGGTAAGGCCAGAGTGAAGATGCTGTGGGAGGAAGAGGCGCGCCTTGGAGCGGAAGTAGCCCTGCGAGAGGAAGGAGAGGACGACTTGCGACCGTTGGATGTACTCCTCGAGCGCCCCAATATCCTTTAGATCATCCACCTGTGCGCACACCGCGGTGTGTCAGAGGTGTTCTGTGTGTGTAGCTAGCGCGGATGAGCATCTGCGCGCGTCGAGAAAGATCTTGATATCAGGCAGCAGCTGCTTGAGCTCACCCTTGATGACCTTTACGGCGTCTTGACCGGTCGACCTATTCGTTTGGGTAAGGGGCGGCGGTGACGCGGGCCGTTTTCTGTTCCCTGTTCTCGCGCCATGACTCACCAGATGTGGCTGTTGAAGAGGTGCCACGTGAGGCCGAGCACAATGCTCATCTCGGGGGGCTGCTTGGTCGATGCGAGCCGGATCGTGGGGATCATGGCGACGCGGCGGGCGGCGACGACGGCGCCGATGAGGAAGAAGAGGAGCGTCACGCCGACGAGGACGAGCATCGAGTTGACGACGCCGTTCAGCTTGCCGAACCCGAGGATGGCGGCGGCCTCCTCTGTACCGGGGTACCGCTCCTCAATGCCGAGGAAAATGGTAGTCCAGTTGGCGCCAAGGAAGAGAAGGAGGAGCACGAGGCTTGTGGCGACGGCTAGCACGTCATCGCCGACCCGCTTGTACGGCCGCACGACGGCGAGCGCGACGGCGTAGCATGAGCAGACTAGGGTCGCCACCACGAGGCGAAGAAACGCGCGCTCCTCCGGTATCAGCAGCACGAAGCCCGTGAGCACGAGCTTGCGCGCCAGCTCGACCGCCTCCCACCAGTACCAGGTCTTCTCGTACTCCCGGTGGAGGAAGGCGGTGGCCCGCGTCATTGCATTCGGCGTCTTGGCCTGCAGCGGCTTGTAGCAAGCGGCGAGGAGCGACGTGAAGAGGACAAGCGAACCGACGGGCCAGACGACGATGAAGCCGATGGCGAGGTCGGTGATGGACTCGTGATCCTCGGTGCCGCACTCGACGCTCGCGTCCTGCCGCATGTAGGAGACCTGCTCCAGGGGCTCGTTCGGCGGAGAGATGGTGTAGGCCTATTAGCAGCACGTTGCCTGAGGGGTGGGGTCTGAGGGGTGGCGTGAGCAACGGCAGTCATCGGCTGGAGGCGCCTGGCACGACCACGAGCGGAAGATGGAGGCGCTGATTGAGGGCACGAAGCAGAAGATGAGCACCAAGCCGGCCGGCGTGAGGTCGAGCAGGCCGAGGGCCGCCTCCGCGTACCACGGCCTCGCGTGCGATGCAGATACCGTTGACTCGTCTGTGTTTATCGCTTCAGCGATCGCCGACACCGCCGACATCACCGACGTCGTCGATGCCTCAAACATCGATGCCTCCACGAGTCCGGTGTCGGCTCCCGGTCCCGATCCCGATGATTCCGTTGGGCGCGGTGGCGGCGCGGCACGCCAGCGGCGGAGCCGCAGCGCTATTCCCGTTCCCATGAGCAGTGCGATGAGGGCGACGGGTGAGAGAGCAATGGCGAGGAGTCGCAGGCCGTAGCCGAGGCACTGCTCCGGCAGGAAGACGCCTGACCAGTCGATGGACATCGCGTTGGCCAGCCGGTCGGTCCAGCCAGTGTACTCCTCCGGCAGCCGCGCGGAGTAGGTGGAGGACAAGACAGTGCAGATCTGATAGAAGCCGAAGAGGATCTTCAGCTTTGCCGTCAGCCCGACGCCAACGTACCAGTAGACGGCACGGTCCGCGAAGCGGAGGATAGGGCCGATGCAGGCCTTCTTCCGCCAGCCCGTCTCGCTGTAGGCCCACGCCGCGAGGCCGCACGCGGCGCAGAGGACGAAGACGATGCCGGCGATGAGTGCCGCCGACGCGCCGCGCGGAGCGCACTCCTTGCACTCGACGCCGTCGGCGAGGTAGTGGTTCTCCGCGGCGCAGAGCTCGCACTCGGGGCCGGTGAAGCCGGGAGCGCAGTACGCGTCCGAGCCCGCCTCCTCCATCCTCCGGCGGCGAGAGGCGCCACCTCTCGGCTCGCTGCCGGCGCATCGCGTCTTGCCGGCCTTGGCATCGCCGCCAAAGAGGCGGCACTCTGTCAGCACGGCGGAGGAGGGGCTGGCGCGCCAGAAGCCAGGCGGGAGGACGAGGGACGAAAGGGTAGTGTTGTCCGGGCAGGCAGCGTTCGGCGGGCAAGCCTTGCAGTACTCGGCTGGGGATTTGTAGATATCGTCCGGGTTGGCCGCGGTGTTCCGCAAGTAGTAGTCGGCGATGCAAAACGAGCAGGTGGTGCTGCCGCTGGCCGAGCTGAGGGGATGAGGACACCGATTGCAAAGGCCCTGGTCGGCGTTGGCGGCGTAACGACCAGCCTCACATGCGTCGCACGAGTCGCTGCCTCGATCCGACGAGGTGCCGGGAGGGCAAGCCTCGCACCTGGCCTGCCCCTCTTCTGCGGCGAAAGTGCCAGACGAGCATGGCGTCGGCTCGACGCTGCCCGTGGAGCAAGCGCTGCCGGCGGGACAGGCCGTGCACTCGGCCGCGGCGGCGAGGTTGGTTGCGCGCGAGTAGCTGCCCTTCTCGCACGGCAGCGGCGCCGCCGCGCCCTCGGCGCAGTAGCTGCCCTGTTTGCACGCGAGGCAGCCCGTCGCGCCCGTGTCGTTCTGGTAGGTCCCAGCAGAGCAGCGTTCGCACTTGGCGAGGCCAGGCGTGGCGGCGAAATAGCCGGGCTCACAGGGCGAGCACGTGTCGCTGCCCTCCGCCCCTGGTGCCGCGCTCGACGTGCCGATGGGGCATAACTCACACGAGGCGTTCGAGCTGGAGCCTCTGTTTGGGTTGAAGCTTCCCGCGGGACAAGGCTGCCAGACAAGGCGAGTGGTGGCGCCCGCGTCCTCGCAGAAGCCGCCCCTCGGGCAGGCTTCGCAGACGGCGCTGCCCACGTCGCGGGAGAAGGAACCCGCAGCGCAAGGCAAGCACTCCTCCTGGCCGCTCTCTGGCTGGTATTGGCCGGGGGCGCAGAGGAAGCAGTCCGAAACGTTCGCCGCCCGCTTGTTGGGCATGTGGGTCCCGGCGGGGCACTTCTGTGGGAGGACGGATCCCTCTGGGCAGAAATGCCCAAGCCAGCAGGGGCCGCTGCAGTCGGAGGTAAAGTGGTCCGACGCGTTCCCGTAGTGACCCTCCGCGCAGAGCCTGTTGCAGCCGGACAAGTCGCCGACGAGCTGGCCGACGTTCGGCATCCAAGAGCCGAGCGGGCAGTCCCACGTTAGAGGCGAGGCGGCGAGGATTGTGATGTTTCCTGGCGCAGAGTTGCGGAAGAAGGTCGTGTTGCGGAGGATCGAGTCGGTGGCAGCGATGCCGGAGGCGAAGAAGAGTGCCGCGGGGGTTTGGCTCGCGATATTGTCGACAAAGTGCGAGTTGGTGAGAGCGAGACGCTCGACGCCATTGAGATAAAGAGCCTACAAAAGAACACAGTCTGGTCTCCCGTTTCAGTTTGTGCACCCTCTTGTGGAGGGGGCGCGCGGCACCGCTTTTGTCTCACTCGTGCAACCGACAAAGCTGGCGCGCTCCAGCGAGACGTCGCCGCTGTTCTGCACGTTCATACCTCCTCCGGACTGCGCGAGTTGGGGCGGGCAAGGATAAGCGGCGAGGCCGTCAGCGTTTGAGAGAGGGCGGGCTGGCCCAGAGTAGCCCTTTGGGGAAAGCGTGCCACCCCAGTCCCTCTGCCTTCTTCTCCCGCTTCCGGCGCGGCGATGGCGTGCGAGTGTGCGTGTGCGGGGGGGGGGGGGGGGCAAGCGTGTGCGGGCGTAGGAGACGCACCTGGGCAGCCGTGCACTCGCTGAAGCTGGCGCCCTCCAGCAAGACGTCGCCGCTTTTGTACACGTTCATACCTCCTCCGGGCTGCGCGAGTTGGGGCGGGCAAATGTCCCGCTTCCGGTGCGGCGATGGCGTACGAGCGTGCGTGTAAAGGGGAGGCAAGCGTGTGCGGTGGGAGACGCACATTGCGAGCAGTGCACTCGCTGAAGCTGGCGCCCTCCAGCGAGACGTGGCCGCTGTTGTCCACGACCATACCTCCTCCGTACTGCGCGAGTTGGGGCGTGCAGTCATAAGCGGCGAGGGCGTCAGAGGGCGAGAGGGCGGGTAGGCCCTCAGTGGCCCTTTGGGGAATGCGTACCGCCCTTTGCCACCCCATGTCCCTCTGCCTTCGTCTCCCGCTTCCGGCGCGGCGATGGCGTGCGAGTGTGCGTGTGCGGGGGAGGCGAGCGTGTGCGGGCGTGGGAGACGCACCCGGGCAGCCGTGCACTCGCTAAAGCTGGCGCCCTCCAGCGAGACGTCGCCGCTGCTGTGCACGCTCATACCTCCTCCGGACTGCGCGAGGGCGACAGTGCAAGCGGGGCGTCAGCGGGCGTGGGGCTGCTCAGGCTAGCCACAAGGCATGGGGGAGACATGCGACTAAGAGTGGCGGGGGCTTGTGGGTCCGAGCGGTGCGTGGGAGAGAGGGGCGGCGCACCCCGCTGGCCTCGCAGCCCGTGAAGGACACGTCCTTCATCGCAATGTCGCCAGCGCCATCAGCGCGCACCGCACCGCCATTATCATCACTACGCCCGTCCACAAAGTGCAGTGCCTCCAGGTAGAGGCTGCAGCCGCCCGAGATGTAGAACATGTTGGAGCTCTTCTTGCCGTCGAGCGTTGCGCCCTCCCCGCTGCTCCGGACCGAGAGGTGCATGTTCAAGTGCAGGTCGCCGCTGCACTCGACGTTGCTGCTAAAGGCAAGGCGGGCGCCCGGCGGGATGAAGACGCTCGCGTTGCGGCCCTGGTCCATGGCCTTGTTGATCTCGTCCCGGATGCCTTGAGGCGTGTGGGCGACGGCCTCGCCGGGGACGAGCGGGGGCAGCGGCGGTGGCGGCAGCTGCGGCGGTGACCGTGGCGGCGACGGCGCCAATGGCGGCGGGGAGGGCGGCGCAGGAGGCGGAGATGAGGGCGGGGAGGAAGCCCGAACCACCGGGAGGAAAGAGAGCAGCAGGAGCAAGGCCACCGCGCCGCGACTCCTGCTCAGCCGAGGACGGACCGCCTTGCTGGCTCGCTGACCCGAGGCTGCACCGGAGCGCGGCGCTCGCTGCCCCAGCAGCAGCCAGCAGGCGCCGCACGTGCCCAACAGCCCGATTGCGCCGAAGCGCCGCGCCCACTTGAGCCCGCCGTCAGCTGTGAGGAGGCGCAGCAGCAACCCACTACCGCAGGCAGCGAGTAGGAGAAGCAGCAGCGTCGGCGCAGAAGTGCTTACACAGCCGCGGTTGTACTCATGCTGGACGCCCCACGGACTGGTCGTGCCCACACGCCCCGTCAAGTCGGGCGGCGCGGAGAGCGCCTCTGCCGAGTGCCGTTCGAGGTCGATGTGCTTGACCGCGTCCGAGCCATCTCTGACCGTCGCCTCAAGGGTCTCGCGAGATATGGTCGCCGCATCCGGCGGCTCAGTGACAGACTCGCGGGTTGGGACTCGAGAAGCGTCCGCCGATCCGACGACCGCCCGCCGCCCGCCCAATCCGGCGTGCACGCAGAAAACAGGAGGTTGAGAGGGACCGACGCGGGAAGCTGCCGTGCTGTTAACGGCGGTCGCGAGGATGCAGATCATGAGATGCGGTGAGTGGTGAGACGCGCCCGCTGTTATTGTGTCGCTCGGCTCAACACGGGGTGCCACCGGATTTCTTTTGAAGACCGAAAAGTGCATTTTTTGAGCTTAGCCTTCGATGTTAGTGCATTTTTTTGACCTCATCGGGCGCCGCCACCGCTCCTCCTCCTAGATGATCTCCCTCAAGCCCTTTTCGGGCGCGACGACGCGCGCGCTGCGGAGCCGGAGCTTCCACGCGGGCGCGGGCGCCTTCAGCCCGCTGTCGGCGGCGCGCGCCTCGGCGATCTCGCGCCCTGCGCCGCCCGTGCGCTGGGACTCAAACGACGCTGCGCGGCCGCCCTCTGCGACCTCGGACTTCAACGAGCTGCGCGAGCGCTCGCTGCTGCGGCACGTGATCAGCTCGTCGACGGAGGGCGATCCGGCCTCGGTGCTCGACGCGATGGACGTCTTCTGGGACACGTACTTCAACGGCGCTGGCACGGCCGAGTGGAAGCTGCGCAGCCAGGCCATCGACCGCGCCGTCGAGGAGGTGCATGCGAAGCGCGGGCCGGAGGCGTACGTGATGGAGCTGGGCACGTACTGCGGCTACACCGCCGTCCGGATGGGCCGCCTCCTCCCGCCCGGCGCCAAGCTCGTCTCGGTCGAGATCGAGCCGCTGTTTGCCGCGATTGCGTCGACCGTGGTCGAGCACGCGGGGCTGCGGGACCGCGTGGAGGTGGGGAGCGGAGCGGCGGCGCAGCGGCTGTGAACGGCGTCTCTCCACGCCTGTCCCCCCCCGTGAGCAGGTGCGGATCGGGTCAGTGGCCGATCGGCTCCCGTCGATCCAGGCTAAGCACGGCGCTCGGCCTCTCGACGCAGTGCTGCTCGACCACTCCATCAAGGTCTGGCCCGGGAGATCGCCGGGAGATCGCCGGGAGATCGCCGGGAGATCGCAGGGAGATAGCAGGGAGATCGCAGGGAGATCGCAGGGAGATCGCAGGGAGATCGCCGGGAGATAGCAGGGAGATAGCAGGGAGATAGCAGGGAGCTTGCCGAGACCCAGCAAGAGACCCAGCAGAGACCCAGCAGAGACCCAGTCGAGACCCAGTCGAGATGGCGGAGGCTCCTGCCTTGCGATGCGGAGATGCGGGGGAGGTACGGGGAGATGCGGGGAGATACGAGGAGATGCGGGGGAGATACGGGGGAGATACGGGGGGGAGCCTTGTCCGAGCCTTGTCCTTCCCACAGCGGGAGGAGAAGCGCGCACACACACACACACACACTCACTCACTCACTCACTCCCTCACTCACTCACTCACTCACTCACTCACTCACTCACTCACTCACTCACTCACTCACTCACTCACTCACTCACTCGCACACACACACACACACACACACACAAACGCGCGCACGCACACCGCTCACCCACGCGCACTGGGCCTTGCACGTTGAATGCCGTGCCAGCTCCTGTCGTCTAGACGTGGAGTCGCGAGGGACTAGCCTGGCCCCTGCCCCACCAGCTCGTGTGTGTGTGTGGAAGTGTACCCCGGACCTGGCCTGGCCCGACCTCTTGCCCTTTTGCCGCAGGACTTCTTGCCCGACCTGCGGCTGCTCGAGTCCAACGGCACGAGCAGCAGCGAGCCGCCCGGCGCCCTCTCCACGAACCGTCTCTAAGCTCCGAACCCCCCCCCCCCCCCAGGCATGATCAACAGTGACACGGCCGTGTTGTGCGACTGGAACCTGTACCCCGGCACGCAGGACGGCCGGGACGAGGCGCCGCAGGCGTGCCGATAGAGCCGAGAACACACATCACTGGTCGGTGTCCAAAGGCAAACCACAACGTCCTGCAGTTGGCGCATCACCCGCCTCGGCGCCCCCCTCGCATCCCCTACACCTCTCGTGGAGAGGACGCCTCGCTGTCAGCTAGGCCGAGAGCCGAGAGGCCCGGCCGAGAGATAACCGAGAGATAGCCGAGATGAAGCCGCGTCCGCTTGCGGTGCTCGCTCGTACTCGCCCGTACTCGCTCATACTTGCGCGTGCTCGCTCGTGCTCACCTTGCCGAGAGCAGGCGGGCACTGAGTTCATGGACTATCTCAAGAAGATTGTCTCGGACCAGGCACCGCCCCACGCCACACACACACACCTCCACACCCCTCTCCACACCTCTCCCTCTCCACACCTCTCCCTCTCCACACCTACACCTCCATCAGGCACCGCCCACGCCACACACACACACACACACACACACACACACCTCCACACCACCACCTCTCCACACCTCTCCACACCTCTCCACACCCTCCCTCTCCCTCTCCGCACTCCTCGGGCCCGGGGCTCGCCCTCTCGCGCCAGCCCCGCCCTTCAGCCACACCGCTGCGCGTGCGCCGCAGGACATCACCACCACGAAGCACTCTGTCGGCGACAAGGACGTCTTCACCGTCTCGACTTGGTCGGGGGTCGTCTAGGCGCCCGGAGAGCACACTCTCTTGCCCCCGCGTCTACCCTCTCGACAGCACAGGCCTCTCGGAGCGTCAACCAGCCGCCCACACCCTCGCGGCCGCCCTCCCCACACCGCGTACGTTCGGGTTCGCTCGCAGCTAGAGCGGGCAGCGGCCAAAGCGCCAAGCGTGGCGCCACCGCAATACGCACGCGCGCGGCGGCCGCTATGACGTTGACAATACTTAGTTCGTTGAGAATACTTAGTTCTTCGGTTTTGCAGCGTTGACGAAAAATTGGCCCCCCCTTGCGGTCTTCCCACGCGAACCCCCCCGCGTTTGAATGCCGTGGGGCTCCTGTCGTCAGACGTGGAGACGCGAGGGTTGCCCCCCCTTGCCCCACCACCTCGTGTGTGTGGAGAAGTTTACCTTACCTTACCTACCAACCCCCCCGCGAGCGCGCCCGAGATCCGCTCACGTTGTCACGACCACACAAGACACGCGGGAGAGCGCGGAGGAGAGGCGGAAGACGCGGGACTGGGATCGCCCGGACTGTACCGGCGCCCGTGCCGGTCGACTGCCAAATGCTTCGAGGCCCCTCAGGGGGGGGGGAAGGGGGGAAGGGGGGGGGGGGGGTCTTCTCAAACTTCCAAAAAAGCCCTCCAAAAGGGGGGTCCCACCCCCCCCCCTTCCAACCGGGGGGGGCCCCC